CACACACACACACACACACACACACACACACACACACACACACACACGTACGTTTGTTGCTTTTAGGTTTAGTACTGTAGCTGCGTGTAGATGTATAATAGATGTTTGTTTAAATATAATTGATTTTTGGTTATTGGTCCCTGATCCCAGGGTAGTGCCCCATTATCATTAATCCATATTAATAATCTTATGAATATAATCATAACCAAACCTGCTCCTGCCATACCCCATGCTTCAACATACAGTGTGGACCTGTGTGTAATTACAAAAACACTGTCGACATGTGCTTTTTGTACCGACTGGCCAATCTCACACAGCCAGCAGATCCTCACAACTCCAAATATGTAAGCATACATTTCCCAACAAATGTTTGGGATTGACTGATCAACTATGAAATTAAAACATAATAAAAAAATTGACGCGTAAAGGATGACAAAGCTAGGGAGTCTAAGCAAAGTAATCGGATCTCTACAAACGGAAATATGATTACAAAATGACGTTTAATACATTTGAGCATATTAGGCAACCTACAGATGTGCTAAAATAACAACTCATGTGCAATTACTGCTCGGCAGTAACACATCCACAGTAAAACTCTCGCTGAGAGCAGCTCACAACAATCAGCCTCGTACACTCGTCTCACATCTCTGACTGCTGACGCAGAAATACAGATTACATGTAATCTGTGACTCTACTCAGACTGCACACGGTCCTTGAGTTTCCATTCAGATGGCGTGAGAGATGACGTCAGGTTGACAGTAACAGATGAGGATTAAAAGGAAAGATGCAGGAGCAGATGGAAATGCAACAGAAGGAGCTCACACTGACAAATCACAATGACCACCACCTGCTGTCTCCACAGCGAGACACCCGAATATCACGCATCAGTGTCAGTGTGGAAGCACTTCCATGAGAACTGGATGAAGGGTCAACTCACATCATGGGCATCACAACAGAAGAGTCATGTAGTCAGTAGTCACAGTTTGTTGTTAACAACAGAAGGATGGCATACCTCATTGCAGGATGGTTTTGAGCCAGATCCCTTGGAAAGCTTTGTGATAGAGAATACATGTTGTATTACCACTGAGCTCATGTACATGGCTCTGGTGTCTTTGTCAGTGAAGAATCGGTCTTCTACGGGGCCGTTCACATGTTGCTCTAAAACGCGTGGAAAACCCAGGCCATGCCGCTTTCATCTATTTATCCAAAGTGCTTGGGGGGGGGGTTGCTGTTACTAAGCAACCAAAATCTGTGTGCTACAATAACGATGATGATAGTGAAGTTGCGGTAATTTAGCAGTTAAATAGATTTCCAGCAGCATAAATCCCTCACAGTAGCTTTACTTGATGTGTCTGTGACAACTTGGCTGAACTTTTGACTGGATGTTGTGAAGCCACTAAAATAGTCCGTGGGACGGAACTAAAATGATCAACTTCTCCATTAATTTACCGTAGACTGTTATTTACCGTAGACCGCGATCGACCCGGTCACGGCTGATTTCTGTCCTGGCCCCACAGTGGTGGAATGAACTCCCCACTGACGTCAGGACAGCAGAGTCGCTGCCCATCTTTCATCAGGCTGAAAACTCACCTCTTCAAGAAGTACTACCCTGAGCCTTCACTTATTGTATTCGTACTAGTTTGTTCCACTTATAGGCTCCACAAAAAACAGTTCAACACGGGGACGCTGGCGAGTCTAACGCCGCTCCGTCTGGCAGTTTTTGTTTTGTTTGATTTTCCTACCGTAATCATAATTTAACCTACATTTTGGTTTTATTTAACAGTGTCGTTAAGTTTAATCATCGTAAATAGCCATTATCCTCTGTTGTCAACTCTACTGCAACGCTTCGTCTTGGATTTGTTTGGATTTGTATTTGTTTGCTTACCTGCTGCACCTGCTCTCCACTGCTACCGTCTACTCCCTGGACAACTAGCTGGCTAGCTACACCCCCTGGATATTCATACATGGACAAGCCACGCCTCCATGGGCGTGGTGGTGGAATAGCCACAATTTTTCGCAAAGACATCACTATAACTGCAATAACCATCCCGGCTCCCTCCTCATTTGAACACCTTGTTTTTAAACTGTCTGGTCCCAAACTCCTGGTTACTGCAGTCATTTACCACCCCCCAAAACCTAACCCTGCTTTCCCTTCTGACCTGTCTGAATTTCTCATACAACTTTGCGCCATCTCTCCATCCATTCTGCTACTCGGTGATTTTAACATACACGTCGACTCATCTGACTCCACAACTTCTACAGAACTCCTGGACATCTTTAACTACTTCAACATCACCCAACATGTCAACTTTCCCACCCATAAAAAAGGACACACACTTGATCTGGTCTGCACATCCGGCATTTCCATCAGCAATCTAACCAGCATCGACCTCACCATCTCTGACCACCTGGCTATCACCTTGGACATAGACATCCCCACCCCCCATGTTAAGCAGAATCGCACCATAACATTCCGGAACATCAAGTCTATCAACATCTCCTCACTCTCCTCCACCTTGGCTGCCACCGTCTCCGCATCTGCCCCGATTTCGACTGCCTCCCCCACTACCCTGGTCAAGTACTATAATGATGCACTCTCCTTCTGTCTTGACGTCATCGCCCCCAAAAAATCCAAACTCATCTCCTTCACCCACTCCGATCCCTGGTACACTGACCGACTTCGCCTCCTCAAAGTGCAGGGCCGTCAACTGGAACGTCTTGCCAAAAAAACTGGACTTACTGTTCACCTGGATGCCTTCAAACTCCACCAACAACAATATAAAGATGCCCTAAACACTGCTCGCTCCTCTCACTACTCCTCCATCATCCAATCTGGCTCCAACAACCCCAAAACGCTTTTCTCCACCATCAACAAACTCCTCAAGCCCATGGACACCATCTCCACCTCCTTCACCACCAGCAAATGCAACTCATTTCTATCCTTCTTCAATGACAAAATCATTGCAATACACAACCAGCTGGCAGCCCCCACCGCCCCCACAAGCCCTCAACATGACTCTCCCCTACTTCCAAGCCACTCACTCTCATCCTTCAGTTCAATCGCGGAAATGGACCTCTCCTCTATACTCTCAAGCATGAAGACCTCCACCTGTGCCCTTGACCCCCTCCCCTCTTCCTTAGTCAAGGCCTGCCTCCCCACACTCTCCTCTCTCATCACCAACATCATCAACTCCTCACTGTCTTCAGGCCTCATACCCCCCACACTCAAGATCGCTGCTGTCACCCCCGTGCTGAAAAAACCTGGTCTTGACCCTGACATCCCCAACAACTACCGGCCCATCTCCAACCTCCCCTACCTGTCCAAAGTCCTCGAGAGAGCTGTTGCATCACAACTCAAGTCCCACCTCAATCTCCATAATCTCTACGAACCCTTCCAATCTGGCTTCCGTTCAAAACACAGCACAGAAACCGCCCTACTGAAAATCACAAATGACATACTTCTCTCTGCTGACTCTGGATTCCTCACCATCCTCATCCTCCTTGACCTCAGCGCCGCCTTCGACACTATCAATCACTCCATCCTCCTCTCACGTCTCCAGTACTCCCTTGGCATAACTGCCACTGCCCTCTCCTGGTTCACCTCATACCTCTCAGACCGACATCAATTCATTGCAATAAACAACTGTAAATCCTCCACCTCCACAGTCACCCACGGTGTCCCCCAAGGTTCCGTGCTTGGTCCCCTCCTCTTCATCATTTACATCCTTCCCCTTGGACAAATCATCCGTCGTCATGGTCTCAATTTCCAATGCTATGCTGACGATACCCAACTCTACTTCTCCACCAAGACCATCACCTCCGTCACCCACTCCGCTCTCACCACCTGTCTCACTGATATAAAATCATGGATGCAACAGAACTTTCTCAAACTCAACTGCAACAAATCTGAAATACTCATCATCGGCCCTAACTCCCTCACCCGTTCAGCCCAGCCCTTCTCCCTCAACATTGATGGCTCCATCGTCACCCCCTCCACCCAGGTCCGCAACCTCGGTATCATCCTCGACCCCACCCTCTCTTTTCTACCCCACGCCAACCACATCACCAAAACTGCCTTCTTTCACCTCAGGAACATTGCACGCCTCAGACCCTCCCTGTCCTCTGCCACCACCGAAATTATCATCCATGCCCTCATAACCTCCAGACTCGACTACTGCAACAGCATCCTCTACAGTTCTCCCAACAAAATCATCAACAAACTCCAATATGTTCAGAACTCTGCCGCTCGACTGCTCACTTCCACCCGCCGCTATGATCACATCACCCCGGTCCTTCGCAACCTCCACTGGCTCCCGGTCAAATTCAGAATAGACTTCAAAATACTACTCACCACCTACAAAGCTCGAAACAACCTGGCCCCTCCCTACCTTTCAGACCTCCTCCCCCTCCACGCCCCAACCCGTTGCCTCAGGTCCGCCGGTGCAAACACTCTGAAGACCATCAGGACCAAGCGCCGGACCTGGGGTGACAGGGCCTTCTCAGCTGCTGCACCTCCCCTCTGGAACTCCCTCCCCATCCACATCCGTGAGGCTTCCTCCCTATCATCATTCAAACAAGCCCTCAAAACCCACCTCTTCAAACTCGCCTTCACCTGCTAACCCCGGTATCCTACCCTCCATTACATGATCCATTCAGCACAGCTTCTCCAGTTATTCTTTTTTCTTTTTGTTTGTTTGTTTGTTCCGTTTGTCTCCGCCTTGTAAAGCATCTTTGAGTATCTAGAAAAGCGCTATAGAAAATTGATTTATTATTATTATTATTGTATTCGTACTAGTTTGTTGCACTTATTGTATTCGTACTAGT